CGCGTATCGTAGCTATCCCTAGAATTATCTTCTTAATACTCTAAAGAATTATAAGGATTTAGCTAGGAATTTAGAGTAATTCGTCTAACTACCGTATAACGAGGATTCTAAAGCTAAGGAGAGAAAAGAAAAGAGAAAATCTATCTACTATACGAATAAAGGAAATACTTCCTATCCTCTCCTATAGTAGATTAGTATAGTTTTCTAGAAGATAATCGATAGAGAAGAATTATATAGCTTCGGCTATATAGTTATATAGCCTAAAGGTATACTACGAGTAATCGCTCTAGGGCGTACTCTAGAGCTTTATACGAGTTTAACTCGTAATAAGAATATCCTCTTTATTTCTATCTTTTATATCGAGTATTAATACTTTAATCGTAAACCTTTTCGCTCTACTTATAGTCGTTACATAGCCTTATCGCGTATTTATCGCTACTATTACCGCCTATAAGGCCTTCGGTCTAGGAGCCGTCGATATTAATAGTACTTTCTTAAGTATCTCCTCGATTACCTTAAGTCTACTCTCGATTCCTCTCTATAATACGCCGTTATTACGTATCGCGTACGTTACGCGAGCGGCGAGCTCTTCTAAAGTAGTTATCTACTACGACTCTACTCCCTCGTCTTCTAGACCTCTCTTAATTACTATTATATCTTTACCTAGCTATCGTAAGCTTATTTATTTCCCTTCCTATAGTCCTAGATCTTCCTTTCTCGCGTTTTAACGCGTCTTTCCGTTTAGCGCGTACTAAGACGCGTCTAGGCTAGGTACTTCTCGCGCCGTAGTAGCGTACGAGTCGCCTTCGGTACTTATTATGCCTATATAGTTTATTTCGTAGTAGTAGTAGTACTATATACTTATTGTTCGATCTCTTTTCGGCGCGAGTTCGAGCTTTTTAGAGTATATATCTTTTATCGTAAATAGCTCTCGGTATAGCTAGAATTCATTAGAAAAGCCTTTAGGCTAGTATAACTCTTTAAGCTTTTTCTATAATTCTAGTGCTGTTTATAGGCCTTTTATCTATATTAAAGGGCCGTCTTCTAGAGATAGTCGTATTAAAGCGTATACCTTAATAGAGTTTTCGAGCTCTATATTAGCATCGCTAGTAGAACTAGTAGCTCTAGTAGACCGTATAGGCTCTTTAATAGTCGATCCTAGGCCTTTTTCGATTAAATAGGGTTCTATTCGTATAGCCTATATTTCGATATTAGAAGAGCCTTTTAGTCTAGCGAACTTAAAGGCGTTTAATTCTATTTTCGTTTATAGAAATAGTTCTATAAGGTTTTCGTACTTATAGACAACGGAAGTCGATATAGGTAATAGCTAGAGCGATCCGGGCTTATACCCTATCCGGAGGATAAGGTTTAGGATCTATAGTAGAAGTAGCCGAAGACCGTAGAAAGAAGGAGTAGAATATATAGTCCCTTTCTATCTTATTTATTCGGGGAATAAGGTTTAGGATCTATAGTAGAAGTAGCCGAAGACCGTAGAAAGAAGGAGTAGAATATATAGTCGCTTCCTATCTTATTAAATAACTTAAGATCTATCTAAGTAAAGGAGTATAGGCCT